AAGAAAGAAAGAAAGAAAGAAAGAAAGAAAGAAAGAAAGAAAGAAAGGAAGGAAGGAAGGAAGAAAGGAAGAGAAAAACATAACAAAGACATCAAAATAATCCTTGTAGTTGTGAAAGATAAGGACCAGGAAAGAATGGGATGGTAAAGATCCTAAGGCACATTCCAAATGAAGGCCATTTATTCTGAAATATTCCTAAGTCAGGATTTGAATGAAAAGGGTGTAAAAGAGGAACTATAAAAGGATTAAAAAATACATTCGGCTATTTTTATGACTATCTCTTTAAATGCTATTTTTCCAGTCTCTGAATTTTGAGATTACAGAAAAGACAGTGTTTCTACTGTTTTTATTCCAGAGACGTAGCGGAGTGTTTACTTCATGCTAAACCACTTTTTACTGCTTTGTGGTAGTTTACTGGGCTACTCAGACCCTGTTTTCCTGTTTGCTTCTCAAATGAATCCCCCTCTTTTTTGTAGCTGTTGTGTGTTCCTTAAATGATTATGAGATAAATTCATTTTATCAACAGGTTATAAGTTTGTTTTTAAGTAGTAGGTAGAATATTTTAACTAGATTAAAGGAATTGAGAGGGTTAGACATAAAAATCTACCTAAACAATTGAAAAGATAAAAGAAATGTTTAAACAGACAGCCACTACACACTGGGATTTAAGTTCAAAGATGCTCGTTACCTCCAAATTCTTTAGACAGTACCGGTGTTGTGTGAGAGAGGCAATTAGTACAATATTTTTATCTTTGGAGCAATGTCCTCATTCTGTAGCATCTTTCCACAGCACTTAGCACGCTGGGTAACCAAAAGGAAAAGAGAGGACTACTTTATCTGTAGTTGCCATGGTATCTTTGGGAGATATCTCCTAAGAATGTAACTTGCAGAAAAGGAAACAAGGTCAGGGAAGTTTAGGTAGTGAAACTGGTGGATGGCAGATTCAGGATTCAGTTGTTTGGATAGCAGAGCCCATGCTTTGAGCACTGCCTAGCTGAGAAGCTTAACCTATGACAGCTACTTTGCCAGTGGATCTTTCTTTGGCTGAGAACTGGAAAAGCAAACTTTAGAGAATGATCCTGAAGCTATGTTCATGACTCTAGGGATGACAGATAAGTGCTCTGAAACCCTTGAAAAGGGAAGCTAAATAGAGTAGTTTAGTCTACCTGTCTAGTGTAGATATCGAATGGTATAAACAATAATCAACATATGCACGCAAGGACACTTTTCTTGGGAGTTCAAAATCCCAGAGCAGTCTCAACTTTCTCATCTAGAAACTGAAGGACCTTATACAAGTGGCTTGACAGTTCTGAAGGGTGACTTTGAATAGAGTATGTGGACTGAAGAGTGAGTGGACTGAAACCTTTCCAAATCTAAATATCCTTTAGGAAATGAATTCATTTCTCTCTGCCTTGGCGTTCTCATCTATTAAATGGGTCTGATATATTACTTCATTACAAAGGATTATTGTGGAGATAAATAAAACAATGAGTGTAATGGACTTTAAAAACAATGTGTTGCAAATTACTGCTTAAACATTAGCACATTAAAGATACAGTTTGCCTAGCACAAATGAGATTCTAGATTTGACCTTCACCACCATACCAAAAAAAAAAAAAGTTAATTATTTTATTATTTGAGTTCTTGGTAACAAAAATGAAGCTCTCTAAACAGATTAGAAATAAAATATACACATGAATATATGTATAAGTTACATGTATTGAAACAGTACAAATAATAACACATCTTTGACAATAAGATAGCCAAGTCCTAGTTTCACATTTTAACTTTGGGTACTTCTCTGTGAATTTTCTAATTTTTCATACATGAGCCCTTCATGTGGGATTGTTCGTACCCATGGGACATAGGGCTACAACAACACACTCTATTCATGTCTCTCTTTTTGGAGTGCCATTGATTGTTAACCCATCTATGAAAATGAACAGTGCCAAACTGTCTCTAGTCAGAAGTATTGCTTGGCATGGTTGAAAGTGGATCAAAGGCTGCCTCAGCTTATCTAGGTAGCATTAACAAATATCAATACTGTAACAAATATGGATACTGTAAAAGTAACTTCAAATATTTACATATCTATGCAAATATTTATCCACATATTTGTTTCTGCAGGAAACAAGCTAAACAAATCCAAGAGCAGCTGAAAGAGTCACAGAATGGGAAAAACTACATCCTCAAGGCATCCAGCACAATGACAAAGTCTGAGAGCTTGATGAAGAGCCATGTTCAACTTCAAAATGTAAGCTGAATGTCTATGCATTACTTTCGTTGCCCACCTCAGAATTTTTAGGTACAGTTCCTGCTAAGTTAAGGTTTTATTGCTGTTAGGAAACAGCATGACCAAGGCAACTTCATAAAGGAAAACGTTTAATTGGGGCTGGCTTATAATTTCAGAGGTTTAGTCCTTTATCGTCGTGACAGGAGGCATGGCTCTATGCAAGCAGACATGGTGTTGAGAGTTCCACATCCAGATCGCAGACAGAAGAAAGTGGCCAAGCTGGGTGTATCTGAGACCTCAAAGCCACACAGTGACACACTTCTTCCAACAACAGCACAACTACTCCAACACAGCCACACCTCCTAATACTGCCACTCCCTATGGGCCTATGGAGGCCATTTTTTATTCAAATCACCACAGAGGGGATAAGAAACCTATGAGCAAAGCTGTATAATTCAGCTTTGCTGTATATGTTCAGCACTGTGGCAGTTTTTGCTTAAATCATCTTACAATTCTCTCTGTCTCTCTCTTTCTGTCTGTGTGGGTGTGTGTGTTAATACTGACCCTTGACAATAAGAGTTTTAGTTGTTGCTTCCATAAGCCATTTCTGGCCTTTACTTTGTGTCAAATATATGGCAGGGACACAATGTCATACTTCTGGAGGCTGATTCACATCCCACTCAGATTGTACAAAGCGCAAGAAAAGTTCATGGTTACGGTTAAAGGAGAATTGAGAAATGTGGTCTCAGAGTCATTTTTTTTTTCTAGTAGTAGGACTGATGCTGTATGTGGATTATAAATCTTGAAGCCAAATACATACCCTGCTGGCTTCATACTTTGGGAAGTACTTTTAGTTGTTTCTGAGTTACATTGCAAAATAGTGAATTAGAGAAAATGGGACACTATCTAACACATGCTGAGATATGCCTTGTAGGGTTAATTCTTTGCCCCCACATGAGATTATGCTTGCAGATTCCGAGGCATGAAATGAAGGAACAAAGGCCTTGGTACAACCAGGGTGTTTGAGGATAATAGGCAATCACCCAGGACGCATGCATGCCCTTCCAAATGCTTAAATTGCTAAGAATTTGCACATCATTTGTGATTCTAAGAAATCATTACCCAAAAGTTGCCATTATGATGAGCATAACAGATGTACTTAGCTGATTTAATGTGAAATTCATAAATCTGAATTGCTTCCCAGCAAAGTTTTCTTAAACTTTTATTCATGGCAATGTGCAGGATTGTTCTTTTCAGAAACAGAGAAAATGCCTTTGCTAATGATTCCTAATGAGTATAATCCCAGCACCTTCAACAACCACCATGATGAGAGTTTCAGTTCCTTAGCAACTGGCCTTGTAAAAGATAAACAAAGCCAGACACCTGTGGAAGTAGCAGGGATAGATTGCTGTCAGCAATATAATATAGAATAGGAAAAAGGATCCAGCATGCACGGTACTTAACTTCAGTAGGTTCAGCAAGACCCAGGCCATGTAAAAGGAGGATGAGGATAGTGAAACAGGGCCGAGCCAGATCTTAATCAGAGGCAGGAAAGAAAGTGCAAAGAGTTGGACAGTGTAAATGCCATCAGGCAGCTGTGTCTGCTGGCTGGCTAAGATTGGGGTCAGAAATTTATCTTCCCACGGGGCTAAAAGACAGAGAATCTACCCTTCCTAATGATTGTGTTTCAAAAAATGGCCTCTAGGTTCTCATGAAAAACTCTCTTTAGCATAGAAGGTCTATATTTATAATCATAAGCCCTTTTCAGAAAAAAACCTTGGGAAAGGAAACCAAGGACCAGTCATCAGGTATAGTGAGAACAAATCTGAAAGGCCTTTCAAGTTTCATCAGTTCATTTTTGATCCCAGGCAGGTACTTTAAGGGGCAAGAGTCATTGAAGGAAAGTAGAACTTGTGAACGTTACGTTAGTATTTGTTCAACTCTTCTAGGGTAGGTCAACAGACAGATAAAAAGCACCCATGCTGAGAGGTTGTAGTTTCTACATGCTATAAGCTAGAGTTAATGAAAAGAAGTCAGGTCTTGACAAATGACCATTTTTATTTGATTGCCACATACTTATTTGGGGTAACTGAATAATTGTCCACAAGGTGACCTCATTATAGTGTCTTCAGCCATCCTTTGTAGAAAGCATTCAGTTTCTTCTCTATTATTATTATCAGTGATAGTAAAAGGAAAATTTTACCCATGTTGTCACCCTTCTCTTTCCCTGACTAGAATATTATAATTCAAATTACAAATGAAGAAATGAGTTATCTATAGACTTCAAAACATTTGAAAGACCTTTGGCACATATGATTTTAAGGCCTCTGCTCCTCCCCTGCCTCTGCTTCTTTCTTCTGTAGCCTACTCAACTTAGTAACTTTTTGTGTTGGTGCAGAGCAACAAGAATCTACTACTATATCATTTTCTCTTGGTTTGACAGGGTGTGAGGATGGCACATTCTTGCATTAATATCATTGTTGCACAGGAAAAGGACATAAGTTGAAAAATGTTTGTTTCATTACTAGGTTCTCTCTCATAGGCTCTAAAACAGAGACATATATATATATATATATATATATATATATATATATATATATATATATGTTCACATACACACATATTTCCTTTTAGCAAGAATTATGAGAAAATATCAATGCCAATGATACATCGTTAAATATAAGAGTGTAGAATGAACAGTCTGCTCAGGAAAGAGCCTGACTCATAATTTCTCTGAAGGAAAAATATGTATTAAGAGACAGGATCTAAAGACTATGACCCTGATGGAGCCTTGAGGTAGGAGAGAAGTCAGAAGGAACAATATTTTTAATACACATTAAACAAGGCCATATATGCAAAGAGAAGTTCCCTTTTACAATCCAAAGAGGAGTATCATTAAGATGGGTGTGTTACAGAAATTGTGGTGCGTCTACACAATGGAAGACTACTTAGCTATTAAAAACAAGGAAATCGTGATTTTGCAGGCAAATCTCACCCCATCCTGAAGTGAGATTAAGAGAAGTGAAGTGAGAAGAGATCATCCTGAGTAAGGTAACCCAGAAACAGAAAGACAGGCATGGTATACACTCACTTATAAGCAGATATTAACTGTACAATACAGGGTAGACATCTACAGACCTAAAGAAGCTAAATACTAAGGAGGACTCTAGGGAGGGTGCTTAAATTTCCTTCAGAATGGTAAACAGAATAGACACCAGAAGTGGTGGAAGAGAGGGAATAGGATGGGAGCCTACTATAGAGGGTCCTCTGAAAGGATTCACCCAACAGGGTATTGAAGCAGATGCTGAGACTCACAACTCACATCAAACTTTGGGCAGAATGCAGGGAGTCTTATGGAAGAAAAGAGGGGTGGGACTAGAGAGACATGGAGGGAATAGGAGCCCCACAAGGAGACCAACAAAGCTAAAAGATCTGAGCCCATGAGGACCTACAGAGACTAACTAATGCAGCTATGGAGGACCATAAATGGAGAGGTCCTAATACCTCTGCTCAGATGTTTCGCACTTCAATCTCCATGGAGATCTCTGAATGAGAGTAACAGGGGCTGCCTCTATCATGAACTACGTTGACTGCTCTCTGATCACTCGCCCCTGATGATGTAGCCTTACCAGGCCACCGAGGAAGAAGATCCAGGCAGTCGTGATGAGTCTTAACAAGCTAAGAGCAGATGGCAATAGTGGAGAACTCCCCCTTTCAATAGACCAGTGGAAGGGGATAGGGGGACAGAGGGAAGGAGAGTGAGACTGGGAATAGTTGAGGGAGAGGATTTCAATTGGGATATATAATGAAAAAATTGTGAGGAAAAAAACATTAAAGTCAAAGACAGAAAAAATGGGTAGGTTAGACAGAGAAATAAACAGAAGAGTTGTTCTTCAGGGTAAGAAATATATTAGTTTCTTTAGAAGTACAGATTTTAGTAGGTTTATTCTATATTATATGTCTATATGAGTGAGTATATACCATGTGTGTCTTTCTGCCTCTGGGACAGCTCACTCAGGATGATCCTTTCCAGTTCCCACCATTTACCTGCAAATTTCATGATTTCTTTATTTTTCATTGCTGAGTAATATTTCATTGTGTGGATATACCACAATTTCTGCATCCATTCTTCAGTTGAGGGGCATCTGGGTCGTTTCCAGCTTCTGGCTATTGCAAATAAGGCTGATACAAACATGGTTGAGCAAATGTCCTTATTGTGTACTTGAGCCCCTTTTGGATATATGCCTAGGAGTGCTATGGCTGGAACTTGAGGAAGCACTATTCCTAATTTCCTGAGAAAGCGCCAGATTGCTTTCCAGAGTGGTTGTACAAGTTTACATTCCCACCAGCAGTGGAGGAGGGTTCCCCTTTCTCCAAAACCTCTCCAGCATATGTTGTCACTTGAGTTTTTGATCTTGGCCATTCTGATGGGTGTAAGGTGAAATCTCAGGGTCGTTTTGATTTGCATTTCTCTGATGGCTAATGACGTTGAGCATTTCTTTAAGTGTTTCTAATCTGTACATCTAAAGAAACTAATCAAGAGAGAGGACTCTGACTGAAATGCTCAATCCCCATCCCGAAAGGAAAAGAGGATGGACATCAGAAGAAGAAAACAGGAAACAACCTAGGAACCTGCCACAGAGGGCCTCTGAAAAGCTCTGCCCTGCAGACTATCAAAGCAGATGCTCAGACTTATGGCCAACTGTTGGACAGAGTGCATGTAATCTTATGAAAGAAGTGGGAAATAGTAAGATCTAGAGAGGATGGGAACTCCTCAAGGAGAGCAACAGAACCAGAAAATCTGAACACAGGGGTCTTCCCAGAGACTCATACTCCAACCAAGTACCATGCATGGAGATAACCTAGAACCCCTGCACAGATGTAGCCCATGGCAGTTTAGTGTCCAAGTGGGTTACATAGTAATGGGAACAGGGACTGCCTCTGACATAATCTGATTGGTCTGCTCTTTGATCACCTTCCCCTGAGGGGGGAGCAGCCTTACCAGGCCACAGAGGATGACA